AGGATGTCCCCATCCACTTTTGAGAATCCTGCTTCCTGGTGAGCTGAGCAGCTGTCAGCACCCCATGCTTCCTAAACCTTTGGCCCAGAAGTAACTGCACAAAGAAGAAGGATTCTCCTTCATATCCCTTGCTGCATACAGCTGTGTATCCAGTTAGCAGTGCCGGTATGTGTGTTCTGCCATCCACTAAGCACCAAACCCAAAGTGCTACCCCACACCCAGAGTCCACGTAGCAGAAAGCAGGGGTGAACCATACTCACCTTCCAAGCAAGAGAGCATGTTAAGGAGGAGACTGAATACAGAATTCACTGCAGATCACACGTTACCTATCTGCCTCCAAAAATCACAGGGGAAACATTCTTACTTTTCAAAGTCTTCCATCCTTTTTTCAGTGATGCTTGCTGACAGTCAATTTCTGCAAAGAATAGAGATATGGTTGAAAGAAACACTACATCAACTGAACTTCATTCATATTGTTTAGCACTGGACTCAAACCAAGCTCTAAAATCTGGATTTCCATCACCTCCCCTCCAGAAGCTTGGTATACTGTTGGTTTTCAAAATTAATAACGTTCAAGCTCCAAATCTGGAGAGGAATCTCTTCCAAATTGTTCAGTCTAACAGCGTTCATGGAAAGGATTAGGATCAGAGTTTGGATTTGGGTCCATTGCTGATACGAAGTATTTCAGTCTTCTGATGTACTTGCTATTAACACAGCATGCAATATAATGTTTAACTCAGCATGGGGAGGTATGACTTTCTGAAGCTGCATGCAGTAAACTCATTGCATTTGTTTAAATACCAATGAACATGCAGCCTTGTAGTCCAGACACTGCTGTATGACAAACAGTGCATGCAATTATTATTCTAATTCAAACCAGTGCATAACTACAGTCATGCATACAACACAATAGTGAAGACACATTACACTATAACAGATTTAACAATAAGCATACAAACATATTATACGAACTGCAAACATTGCACGTGCTGCAAAAGAATTTTACCTGATTTTTAATTTTTTTTTAATAAACAGCCTGAGGGCACAAAGGGCCTGGCCACACAAGCTTAAGAGTGGCCTCTTTCTGTGACGATGATGGTAGGTTTCAGATGAACTTAGGACCACTTGCTACCTGCGCGCCTGCTAGTCCTCCTGTTCCTCCACTATGTTGAAAATGAAATGCTTCTGTTCATCTTGCTGCCCAAGAAAGTCATCTTGACTACACATGTGTTATAAGAATTATCACTGGATATTTAATGATGCAACATGTGGATTCAGCTGGGTTTTATTTATTGCTATGCATAACTGCTGACCCTTGGCTTGCACATCCATTTATTTGCTCAAATATTCACATGACATTACATTCATTACAGAAAATAATAAAATACAACTGATTAATACTACTCTGGTTCTCCTGTTTCTCCTGTAGTGAAAGAATCTTGAGACTTCAAATGTGTAACAATAAAGCACAAAATCTGTTATAATTCGTACATAGCTGTTCATTTTTCCTCAAGTCAGATCCAAAATTAGGACAACAATACCTTTTGTCAGGCACCACCAAGGTTGTTAAGATCCAGTGAAAAGTATGACAAGTGAAAGTGCTTGCTCACTGCTTTCACACAAAGATAAATATATTGCTGCAAGTTTTAACATTAAAATTTACAAAAAGTGAAAAAGCACACCAAAAAAAAGTTACAGGCCAGGTACAACAGCATTAGATGGCACAGGCTGATTTTTCACATGACTCTGATAAGGAAGCAAAGACCACTGACCGAACTGTTTACACTGGGGCTTCAATCCAGTTCCTGGAGTTGAAGTCACAGTTCTTCATTTGTCAGACTGGTCCAAGCATATGTATTGATGTCAATGCTTTCCTAATGTATTAATTGTAACAGCTGTGATTTTCAAAGCTATTCAAAATATCTGGTCAACCTTTTTGCATTAACTTCTTATGTAAAATGAGTGCCTATCATGACTTCCATGACTGAGCCACAGAAGTCTTTTTCTTTTAGGAGTTGGTGCTGCTCATCTTACTTTGGGTTTTTTTCCTTCTAAAAGCTAGCAGAGAGATAAAGTGACACATGCAATAACTGGAAGACAGAAAAAAAGCAAATGTAGGACTCCTAATGGCTGACTTCCCTATGTTTGAGCTCTGCAACATGGAGGAAAAGCAAAGGTAAGACAGCAGGCAGAGACAGGGATGCGATGCAGCGCACTAGAAAGAGAGTAAGTGCTTTGTATGCGTCAAGCATGTGTGCTTATTAGGAAGAGATGCATCCAGACTTCCACACTAAATCGGGTAACTTGGCTCATTCATCTTTTCTAACTGCTTTTTAATTGTACTTAGTAAAACTGCGTAATACCAGAAGTGATACTGGCCCAAGACAGATCACTTTCTTTTATGACTAGTTTTGCAAAGTCTTGGAAAAAATAACATATTAAACAGGTGTGATGCATGCAGTAGGATCAGTTTATAAAGTCATGAGTCAGAAAGCGATCAGAGTTTCCTTGACATCTGTTTCTCCAGTTACAGGAAACAGCACAGAGAGGTTTACATAGCCACATACACAGAGGAGCTTTTACTGCAGCTATGGATCTAGGTTCCTCAGCTGGAGCAGTCACAGCTAGCATTACTAGATATGCAGACCCAAGCCTCAGTCACACTCCTTCATGTGCTGGCAGGTTATAAGTTTCCACAGTTTTCTTACTGGTGGTAGGCTGCAGAGAAATCAGCAATGGACACACCTAAATTTAAATGTATGACACAGTAGACATAAATGTAACTTTCAGGTGCTTTTATTTTATTTTTAATCAAAGGACTGCACAGACCATTTTGTGCCAGGTGTCTTCTTAAGAGGGAATTGGTCCCTGTAATATCAGAACATCAGCCTTATTAATACAGTACACAGCTTGAGGCCTATGTTATGTTTCTTAATGCACATGAGCAAGTTAATTAGCAAATGTGAATTTTAATAATTCCTTAATAATATTTTCTTAATAAAGAATAGGCTTGTACGTGAAATGCCGCATGGCACAGACTGCTTCCTTTGGGTACTTAAGACATGGCATGGGAATTTGTAGGGCCAGATGAATCAATTAAATGCAGATTAAGATGCTAGATCCTGATTCAAAAGTCACCAAAAAACTTGTATTTTCAAAGATGTTTTAGATCAGAAACTGTATTATTAGAATGATGAGTCTTCATTGTTATATGATAAACAGAAAATTGCAAATGCAAAATAACAGCAAAACAGGAAGACATGGCTTCCTGCTTGAAAAAATATCCTGTGCTCTGGATGGGGTCAGAAGTAGATGAGCCAAGAAAATGCCCACTGTGTAGTCAAATATGCTATAACCTCAATAGAAAAAAATATAATTCCAAGTCTGTTTCACCATAAAAGCCAAGGATCATTTTTGTATTAAAAGAACTATAAGACAAAGATACTTTTTTTGTGCAGACAATATTGCTTTAGATCAGCAAATATGCTTAAGTATTAATTGCAGAGTTGTGCCTTTAAGCTAGATAATAAGAAAAGTGCCAACACTATTCCAGAGAAGACATATAGTGAAAGAGACTGTGTAGAAAAATAAAGGCAAATTCAGTTCACCTTCAGGTGTAGAACACAAAAACAGTAACTATCACAGCTGTTTCATAAGCCAGTATCATTTAACTTCCACACGGTAAACACAAATGTGTCACCTACATTGGAACTACAAGTCTGCTTAGACATTAAATAATTTTAAAAGGTCACTGCTACAAATACCACAGAAATGTACATGGTGAGTTTAAAAGAAGTAAGTAGTAAAATGCTCAAATGCCTCCATAGTCTACATTGCCTGAAAACCAGAATTCTGTCATTTACCTGTCCTTGTGCTTTTATGTCCCTCATCAATGAAGTATCTTGATGAATTAATGATTAACATCCTGTGAGGGCTTACAGGTTTATCCCAGCCGAACCCAGGACATGGGGCCCAATTCAAAGCTGGTGTACACTAGTGTAACTCAACGACAATGCATATAGACCGTACAATCAGCATCCAAGCCTAAAAATAAGTAATTTTTCTCATTTAATAAAAGAAATACTTAGCTGTCTATGGTATGACAAATGGTTTATGACAGACTATCAGCAAGTGTAAGATGCCTCAAAGAAGTGAAATTCAAGCACTGTATCCAGTCATATCACTTTATATGTGTTCCTTTGGAAAAAGATTGCGTCATTATTTTGATGCCAGAACTTGAAAACATGGTTTCCAGTTGCTAGAAGACGTCAGTGCTACAGTCATCTGAAATCAATGAGCTCAGCTTTTCAAGTGAAAATGCCTGCAAAACACTATTTCCTATAGTTCTCAGAAAACAGTCTCCTAGAAAGAAAATTACGCATGGACACTTCTTAAGACAGTGCTGTACTTATGTTCCACTCTTACAAAAATACTGTGACAGGTTTAAAAGAATTGTAGTAAGAACCTAACACAAGCTTTCAGTTTCTTACATACAGTCTGGAAAAGACAACATTCTTTCATTTGTCTCTGGTATCATTGTGGTAACATATTTTCATTTATATCCTTTGTACAGCCAGTTTGTAGTCTGACATCTTTTCATAAGAAATAGCTATAAAAACCTATAAATATGAGGCCCCAAACCAGCTCCCTAGACTAATTTTGACAAATGCAGTGTAGATTTTAAGCATATTCTAATTCTCACTAGCTTAAATGTCACAAAGTTGGTACTCAGACAAGTGCCTTATTTGGCATAACAAACAGGCAAAAATTCTCTAAAGCAGTTCCTGTCACATCGAAAGACCAAGAAGAAAATACGCCTTAAGCCCTGTTGGAGCTGTATTAATACTAAGTGAGAAATTTACCTGTAAAAGCAAAATTTAAAAGTGGACTTACAGTATCAAAAAATTATTTACTATATGTTTTGCCATCTTCCTAGCCTTTCCACTTTGGGGACATAATTCACAAGCTGCTTTAAAGAACATACTTGTACAAAGTCTTACCTTGCGATTTGTGTTCTAGTACTGAAGTCAAGAGATCTCATTGAGCGTAAGACTTCTATACATCCCAAGTACTGTAAGGAAAAAGGAACAGTTGGAAAATGTATTTTAATTATTCTTGAGTTCTGGGAGAAAATGCAGGTAATCATTAAAAGGCATTGTACAATTCTTAATTTTACATTTTTTTTATCCTATGTCAGGTAGGTTTTTATGATTGTGTTCTGGTATGTCGCAGATTTGTACCATAAACATTTTATTTCATTTAAGTCTCAAGTTTGGCTCAACATATGTTTTTATATTTAATCTAATCACTGTAATAAACCTAGTTCATGATGTGTTGATGTGCTTTTTAATTTTCCTCTATCTTAATTGTTCCAGTTTAGATATAAAGCTAATCAAAGGAAAAAATAATATTAATGAAAAAGGAAGTGTGGTGAAGCAAATTCATCTAGCACTTGTAAGTAGGAAAATCTTATTTAAGAGGGAGAGAACTAAGCCTCTTGATCAGAGATAGATGGGGTTTGATATTTTCATTAGTTACACTAGTATAAAGATATAGGAAAATGTTAAAAAAATATACTAATAACCCATGCTGGAAGATGGCTTCAACAGGGTCATTCAAGAGAGGAATGACATGAAGGTTAGCTAATATTAGGAAAAGACCAGACTTACTGACCCAGATTTCTGCCCTGCATTTCTATGAAAAAGAGGCAGTACCATTAGAAAATATGTTAAAATGCAACAGTATCTATCACAGGAGTGAAAAAATCAGGTGAATCTTCTAGACTTGCTTCCAAAAGTTGGCATGATCTGCATGTGCTAAAGCCTACATGCAGCTACATCTCTTGTCAGATATTTGGATAGTGGCTTTGTACAAACAAACTAATGACTGACATATGCCATGGCAGTCAGTATCTTTGCATGTAGGTTAAGTATTCAACCACACACCTGACTTTGGAAAGTCAGGGGAAACAAGGATGAGTCTTTACATAATGAGCCTGATAATGCTATTCTAGTATTGTGTTTTTATATCAGCTTTTATATCAGTTTTATATCAGGTTTTATATCTATTTGCAGTATAATGCAATCTATTTGAGTATGAAACTGGTGCAGAAAATCAAATGAGGCCACCATTTTGTGTCTGCTTGGGAATTCTATTTATACAGGAAAAATGATCTTTTAATTAGAAAATTACTACATCTGTAACTATACTATATAGAATTTCACCTTTTTTTATATATATAGAAACTTGTATGTCACAAACTGTTGACAAGCCAAGAGAGTATCTACTTTGTTTTCATGTCCATTATTATTTAATTTATTGCCATCAAATGTTACAAAGTCTTTACAATACTGAATAAAATAAACTAGAATATCAAGTGACTCCTATTCATTAAGTTGATCAAACTTGGATTATAATAGTCCACATAAGAATTGTTTCAAGATCCATTTTCTAGAATTTTTTAGAAATCTCCTGCAATCTTTCTTATGTTTTTTGAAAAGCTTGTAAAATCCTCATGGAAAATGTCTTGTCTATAGAGATGTCAGCAAGTGGAGTTTTGAGGGTAAGGGTCATACTCTCAAACTGTTTAGATTATCATCACTCCTCCATCAGTACAAAATTAGGTAACCCTTGTATCTTATTACAAGTAGATTCCTTTTTTACCTATACCTCTGAGTACTTAAAGCACCCAGAATAACATTTTCATGCTCTCATGCAGGAATTTAAACCATTAACTCTATTTTTAAGTATCTCAGAGAGTAACTTGATTTGCTTGGAGATGAAGTTTGTTAAACTTATCAGTTGAGATAATCAGCTGAAGTCAGTTAACTTATGCCAATATACAGCAATGAAAGATGTTTTCCTGTAGCCTTTTTGTGTCATTTTGTTTTAGTTCTAGGATGCTTTTATAGATAATTTTTCCCAAATATTTATTTCATATAAGATACTTTTATAATTAAATATGCTGTAAATGGTACATCTCTTCAAAGGTTTCCCTTTTACTTTTTGTTACTGAAATACTTGGTTTTCATTATTTCATCAACCTGTTCATTTAGACCACTCAATACTAAAACACTCTTGGATTGCAGCTGTTCCTTCACTTATCTGTATTTTCCACAAGTCTTTTAAAGCAAAGTAATTGTACAAGTTTGAGAACCAGTTCAAACACTTTAGAAGCAAACTCTGGAAGGTAGTTTGACAAGTACATGCAGGCGTGCAAATAAATATACAAACACATGTACACACATGTCACTATCAAAATAAACACACGAATAATTAGACAAATATCCATAAACATACTTAGAAGGCGTGCATTTAGACTCCTTTGAGTCATACTACCTGATCTGCATTAACAAAAGTAGAGACAAAACCAGACTGAAGGAAGGTCAGATGGAAAAATTGCCCTGTGCTTGTTTTATGTATAGCATGGAGACAGCTGAACACAACATAGTAAGACTTGCAGTATTCCTGACTGATCAAGGCAAAGATGGCAACTGATTTTCTGGGCTAAAAGATGTGAACACTTAATCACCACAGCATGTTTTCAAGTAACAAAATTACTATAAAAACTGACATTCAAAAGGTCCAAAGGCCAACTACAGGGACATATAACTCACCTACTGCTATGCTTCAATTATTCCCCAAGACCAACATTGCTCTCTAAAAATATCCATTTGAAGTACATCCTGACAAGGATCCACAGAAAGGAGACATACAACCAAGATAGCAAGTAAATATATTATTCATTTATTTAAACAAATAAATATCCTGATTAAAAATAAATGCTATCTTTTGCTTTAGGCATTCCATGAAACATTTAAAATATAGTTATAATACAATCTACTTCTAAAAAAGCTCCTCTTTACTCGGCACTTAATATATATTCTAACCAATCAGCTACTGTGCATAGTGATATTTATGAGCTCCCACGAGCATCCTCCCTCTCATTGCTCAGGAAACAAATATGCAGCCCACCTTGAAGCAAGAAGATTTGGGACTACCAGTTCCAAGCGCTCTCAGATAACATTCTGCCTCCTGCCTCCTGCCTAGTCCCTGGTATCTGAATGAATTTCCAGCTTGTATACCTTCCTCTAATGGTACTATGCCCCAAAGAAAAAGTCTTTCATATGAATGAATACCTTCCCATTCAGAGGCTTTAGATTCACAACTAGTACTTTGCATACTAAACAGCACCTTGCAGGAAGCTGGTGTAAATTTAAAAGCAGAGTGCCACATACTCCTGGGACCATACCTCTCTCATTGCATGCGATGTCTGAAACCTAGTATAAGTCACCCTGTAATAAGCTGGTCAGTTCACTTCAAGTTTCTTCTATTGCAACATGCATTTATTTATGCATGAAAATGACAGTTCCTTCTAATTTCAAATATCATCATTAAGAGCCAAAGGGGCTTGTGAAATGAACACTGAGAGTTCCACAATACTTGCATCTTTCAGGTTTGCCATGTACCCTAAATCATATTACGATTTAAGCCCAGATAAGCCCAGATGGTTTGTCCACATGTAACTGTGGACTCAGTCAGGACTTTTAATATCCATACTGATGCACGAGAAGGAGAAGAAAAAAACACAAAAGCAACCCAAGTCATAGTCATAGCCAGAGACTGCAGGACTGATAATTGCAAGTATCTTACAAAATGAATTTTTCTCCACAGCAAATTAATATGAAACAGTAAACCTGAATCCTTTTGCTATCATATTAGATTAATTTCCCAGGTTAACTGAAGTTACAATACCCAATCTCTAAACCACTGAAGTGAAAAAAACAAAACAAAACCAAACCAAAAAAACAGCAAAAACAACCAAACAAGGAATTGTAATCAAGTGTTCCTTTTAATAAAAGAAAAATAAGTGCCACAGTATTTCCTAATATTTAAAATTGTGATTTAACTGAACATTTTTTGCCTTGAATATCTTACTAATTTGAGTGAGACACGCACCACAAATTACTTAACTCAGCTAATCATCAGTGAAAGATCACAAAAAGAGAAGGTAGCTTATCACAATATCCATTTGCTTCTTTACTTCATAAGGAGATCATAGTGTAGTTATATGTATTTGATTAAACTACATAGCAGTAAATTTATTAATTTTGTTAAGACAGTGGAATCTTAGCAGCATTATAAATTCATGAAAACACTCAACTTTTATATTGAGAGAAAAAGTGATAAAAATACATTTTTCTGAAATACTTCAGGCACATCTGGCGATACAAAATCCTTTCCAATCCATAAAGTAACCCTCTGATTGGCAGTTGCCAGTTTGCTGGGTACTTCATGGTATCCATCCACTAACAGAGGCAGTAAGAAGTCATTGACAAAAAGCTGTCTGAAGAAATACAGTAACAATACAGTCCTTGCTATTTCTTAAGATAAACTGGGTACAGAATTTGAAATACATAATTAACCTTTCAGTCACCCATAGCAAAATGCTTTACCCTGTGGTAAAACACTTCCACAGAAGGCTGTAAAGATACCAGTACAGCAGAGGAGGATCTTTTCTTACACATCTTCAGGAGGAAAGGTAACTGCTTGGCATTTTTGCAGACAAATTTCTACCTTTACTCACACAGCCTATACAAGGAGGACAAAGAGAATCCACACCAACAGTTTTATGCCCTTTGAATTTGACATAGTGTGGACACTCCCGTACCAGGCTAGCTCATCGGATTTGTGTGGGAGGCAGAGAAGGTCTGGAGGCATGGCTCTGAATCCAGGTAGCTGTGGGAATCTTTTAATATGAAAGAGTAGCTCCTCATCCTGATCAAAACAAATGGCTCAGACACAGAAAACTTACTTTCTTAAGTTCTTCATCTAGATTCTCCCATTAGCAAAACAAAATGGAAAGGAAAGAAGGAGGGAGAGAGTGCTAAATTAATCGTGGGGATGGATGCATTGTATGTTACCCACAAACCCAGCAAGCTTCTTTAGGGGCTATCCTCTTAAGCACAGTTATCCTTAACTGCAATCATTCACTAATAATGCTTAGACTTTAACAATGGCTAATACTGATGTATATTTACAGCACTCACATAAGTTTGTATAAGGTTGTGT